CTGCAAAACATTTTTAAGGAAGAATTATCTTATTTACAGGTGACAAAGATAAGGCTCAGTAAAGAGAGATGACTATCCCCTAGTTTCCCAACCAAGTGTGTTCAGGAACAAAAATGAGGAACTTAGCCAGTTTCTAGAAGTTTCTGGACATGGAAGGTAATGGAGTAGATATTGACACTCTATTCCTTCTCTTTTCTATTATTGTCTTGTTTTTGCTTTAAAACAGTTTTCTTAGGCCTTCTTCTAGCTCACTGCCAGACTTTCTGGCTCTCACATTGGTATACTTCTTTTAAGCCAGCTTATTAGACTGGCTTAACCCTCAAGCATGCTTTCTTCAGGAATCAGTGGTGGGACCTTTGAGAATGTAGGGACAGAGTCTTACTCTGGGAGTTGATTTCTAATCTGACACAATCCTCCACTCTGGAAATCAGCTAGCTGGCTCCTGTTTGCCACCAACTTCATTGCACAATGTGGGTACACCCGAACACGGAGTGAGGAGCCCTCCCCCCATTTTACTTCCTTTGGCCAAAGTGGAGTAACAGTTTCCAAATATGTTAATATGTTAATATGCTGTAGTTTACAGCAGGCACTGTGCTTTCAAAAAGGAGCTTAGAGGAAGGCACTAAAATAATCTGCCGCCCCACCGCATCTCTTCACAGTTTTTCTGAGATCCTTCTATGTGCAAAACAATGGTCTGTGGTAGAGAACAGGAGGTGTCCTGGTGGTGGGTGGGTGTGGAACACATACTGAAAGATGTGGCTCTAGAACTAATCACATACAATGTTGTAAACCAATGTTACCCCAATAAAAACAAAACACAGGGCTATGCCCTAAAGATTAATAAAGGATGGAAAGAAGTGGGGAAGGAGCAGGGACAGTTGGAAGGAAGGAAACCTAGTCTGCATCACAAGAAATAACCTAAAAGGAAGACAGGGACATGTTCATCATCATCATCATCATCATCATCATCATCATTTATTTCTAATATATTTTTTTTTATCAGTGCAACATTGGTTTACAGCACTGTCTGTGATTCATAGTTACAGGAATCTACCACTTCATTACATGTCACCTTACCAGTGCCCACTGTCAAGGCACCTGTCGTCCTCCCCCAGAGTCGACTGGGCCCCTCCCCCCCCATCCTTCCTCCCCTCCTCTGGGAGTCGCAGATTTCTAGACCTTGATGCTGGCTTGCTGTTCTCTGAATCTTGCTTATGCCTCCATGTTCCACATATAAGTGAAGCCATCTGCTGTTTGTCTTTCTCCTTTTGGCTGTTTCACTGGACGTAATCCTGTGTCATCATTACTGTCACGATTACGTGAGGAGAGGTCCCTTCTGTAGTATCCTCCTCTCCCTGCTCTGAGTAGCTCTGTGAAAGCCACTTTCCTAGTTTTCTGAACTGCCTCTGGCCCACAACAATGTTCTGTCTTCTGGGGCTCAGAACTATAAAATGACTCTGTTGTTTATTCCTGGAGATCTAAGCACTTTATGCCTCTTTCCTCCTGGATAGAGGAGACACGTCCCTTCACTGCTTCATCCTCACTGGGTGGTTTGGTCAAATGGAAGGTGGGTTTATGTCTGTCACACCTAGTATTGAATTTCTTCCCAGTGGAGTAACTTGGGGCATTTTTATCACCTTTTGGGTGCTGCTTTCCTTATCAGCTAAAATCAGGAGATTATTATGTCAGGCCCTTACAAAGAGCACAGCAGTAATAAGATTAGAGGAGTAGAAACTGGAGGTACACTGAGATTCCCTGCTCCACCGATAAGAAGCTGCACTGTCACTGGGTGATTTAAATGGACACCAACTTGAGAGACATTTCTGGAATTAGGGGGGAGCCACACTGCTCTTTTGGGTCTATTTTGCTTACTGATGGATAAGTCATGGGGTACTAAGGCAACATGGGCTTGCACGGTTAGCACAAAGGTGTCCTTGGAGGCGAAGTTTCCAGAACAGTATCAGGGCTGAGACTTCGGGCCAGGAAGGAGAGTGTCTCATCTCTCAGATCTGGCTGTGGGCTCCAGTCCACCCTGGAGACTGTGACCACCCCAGAGCTGTTTATGCTGGAACCAATCACAAGGCTGCAGAACAGAGTACTCAACCCTCCATTGTGAACTGAAAAGATACATTCAGCCTCATGTTCTGAATGCCGCGTGTTAGGATTCACATCTCCGAACCATGATAGCAACACAAATCAAGGACTGGGAGAAGATATTTATAACGTAAAACCAACAGCTAGTATCTGGAATAGCACCAGTCACTTCGGATAGAAAGGGAGACGAAAGTGGTAGGCAATTCACGGCTGGTAAATCCTAGAATTAACAATGCATGAAGACATACTCAGCCTCACCATGGAGTAGGACAGTGTGAGTTAAAACACAGTGAAACCCAATGTCATGGCACAAGTCAGATCCCCGATAACACTAACATGCCAGCCTAAAGCTGTGGCAATTGGGCTGCTTACACATTGTTGGGGGAGGGGAGAGTAAAATAGAGAGCAGATTAGAAAGTTAAGTGATGCTCCTGCACGTAGACCCAAGTGAGCCCATTTCTTGACATCTCCTCACGGGGAACTTTGGACAAGCACGTCAAAGAGGAGAGACATAGACATGCTCCAGAGACATTATTCAGCAGCGTCTAGAAGAGGTGAAAGTTGGGAACAGTGCCTGGGACGTCAGCATGGGAGTGAATAAGTTGGAGCAGTGGAATCTGTGCACAAGTTAAGGAGCCAGATTAGACAACCTCTATCGAGCTGTATTAGATGGCTAAATCTCAGATGTAATTTTGAGTGGAAAAAAGCAAGAGAGATTAAGCGTATTTAAACATATTTACAAGAATATTAAAAGCATGATTAAAATATAAATCCAGGGGTAGATTTTGTGACTACACAAGAGATATTAAATTTGTTAAAACACACAGGAAAAGCATATACCTGTCAGCTTCGGCACAGGTCAGTCATGGGGAGAGAGGGAGGAGAAGCAGACCGTGTGGAGGAGTAGCATTAGCTGTACTTGGCTTCTTAGAAGGTTGAGCTAAGTATGGTCAAATGTGAAGACATGGAAGTAGCAGGAACACAGGTATCCTTACTTTTTATGGCTGCAATTGCTCCTGCATAAAATAAGATCATGTCTTTGCAATTCCAAGTATATTTCCACTTGGTCTTATGATCCAAAGAAAAGCTCTATTTCTATGACTTAGTGGGGATTTTTCTGACTACACTGAAGCTCTGGAGGAGAGAAGTGGCCCTTGACCAACAATCAGTCAGCTGGGTGGCCTGCCCTGTGTCATCCAGCTGCCGTGAGCCTCTCTCTGCATGGCCCTCAGGGCCTCTGTGGGTGGGGCTACTGGCCTGTCATCTCCGAGGCTGTAAGGGTCAGCACAACACATAAGAGCTATTGCAAACCAGCCTGATCGATGGATCCTTATAAATAAGATTCTTTTAAATGCCCTCATTTGCAATTCTCATTGAATTTGGTTGGTAGTAGGCTCACCCTTTGATTTTCTAACTTTTCTAAAGTTTCTTGATCCAGAAACTTTAGCTAAGTTAATTCCCAACTTGGTCTAGGGGTAGTTTTGCTCTGTCAGTTGAGAGATATGACCCAGAAATACTGTATGGCTGTTTTATTTGTTCTTGTTTGCTTTAGCTCACAGGTGCATACAGTTCATCACCATTGCTGAGTCGTTACTTTACTTCAGTTGAAACAGTGGACTTCAGGTAAGAAACGTGTACCTTAAGTGTTGGTCTTTTTCTCTGGAAAGTGATTCCCTTCACCATTGACCTAGAAAGACATCCTGAGTGTCAAGGCTCTAAGGAAACCAACATCAGACAAAATTCTGAGGTGCTGGTTCTGGGAGGGTGTTAGTAGAGCCACAAGCTCAACCCTTATTCTACAAAGGAGAGAAGTGAAGGCCAGATTATTTATTCTTCTACATGGTGCCAAGGAAGAAAGGGTGAGCAATTCTGTTCCCTCATTCCTGCTTAACAGTAGATGCTCAAATAAGCTACGGGTAGAAGTAGAAGTAGTTCTTAGTGCTGTGAATCAAACGAGGTCCATGTAATGGTTTTGCTTTGGAGGAACACAAGTAATATAATAATATTAAAGGTATAAAGATGTAGATACAAAGGACAAACCTTCCTTCTTCCTCTACCTTCTCTATCACCCTTGAGTGCTGCATGTGTTGATCACCTCCGAACACACAGTCACTTGTATGGAGGTCATTGATAGTGAATTATATGGAGGTTCCCCTTCTTGAACCCTAAATTTCCCAAGCCATGATACTAGTCCATCTGGAAAGGGAAACTTCTAAGTAGGTGAAAGCAAATGGGGCAAATCGACCTCAATTCTGAAAATACACAGCACTATTCCGATGAACACGATGAATACCTGGTCACTTTTTTGCTATCGTCATTTTAATCAGAAGTTCATGGCATTAAAATGTCAACAGATGCCACGCTTTTTCCTCTGTGTGCTTATTCAAAGATAGTGTTGAGAAAGGAAAGCTGCTCTGGCTTGAAGGATTTCCCAGGAATCCAGCTCATATGTTGAGCTTCACAGAGGTGGGATTGCATAGGGGCTCGGAAAACCTTTCAGAAAACTGAGTAAAATGTGAAAATAAATCTGAAGACAATGTTAGAAAGTCTTTTGTTTTTATGGTCTATTATTTAATAGAAAGACCCAGAACTTTTAGTATTTTGGGCAAATAAATACTTCCTGGAAGTATTTCTGATTTTTATTTAAAAAAGATTCCAGGAAGAATTTCTGCAATGTGAGTTAAGAAGAGACATTACTTCCAAAAGGGCTCAGGAGATGGCCAGATCCTGGCGGGTTTGTGAGTTGGGGTCCTGACCTCATCACTGGACCGGAAGCAGCAGAAACCTAGGGAAAGGCTGAGTTCATCAAACGCTAGGCCTTTCCTGCTTGGGGACAGCTGAGGCAAAGGCCACACGATCTCTGCTGTCCTGAAAAGCCTTCTCTCCCTGTGGAATTTACGTGGTGTGAATTTGCTCTGTGACCTGACTTGATGGATCTAGAATGGGCTGGCCAGGCTGGATCCAGAATAGGCAGCATGATCCTCCAGTTCCTGGCCTGCACTTGCGCAAGGTGGCTTCTGGCCCATTCTGTAAGCCACCCCAGTCCTTACCAGTGGGGGTGCAGGGTGGCTGATTGCAGGATGACCACCATCCACAGTGATTAGAAGGTGAAGTGCAAGCAGTGAACCCTACAAACCAGGGTAGCAGGTTTAGAGTTTGAAAGTGCATTTTGCAGTATGTTTGTAGTGGCATTCGTAAAAGCATGAATTTCTCCGAACCCCCGATGTGTTTTATTCATTTAAGGAACAGGGTTTGGCACACTCCTAGCCTGAGTTTATAAAGTGAATTGTCACCTACTTTATTGCTAGAATATGGGCCATATGACCTCTGGCCACAAGAGGGCGCGTTTTGAATGTCCTTTAATGGGTCTGTAAAACTTGCCCTGGGATGAAAATCTCTGCTGTGGCCAGATCTTAATTATTGTAGTGCTGACTCTTAACCTGGGACTTCTTGAACCAAAGAATAACTGTGAAAACCTAGATTTTTGAGGTAGCATTTAACAAGTTGTATAAGCTACTAATTAACTGAGGATAGCCCTGTGATTATTTTTATTTTGGAAATGGGAAAAACATGTTCTAGCTAGATGAAAACTCCCTCCTCTTGGGTCCCTTACTGAGAGTTGCCAAATTGGGAGCCTTGGGAAGGGAAAATGGGACAGAAACAATTTCTCACTTTGGGGACAGGCCGGGAAAGAAGGATTTGCTGCCTGCACACATGGCCATCTGTGGTGGCTTAGGGCGTTGCACTAGGCCAGCCAGTCAGCTTTTGGTTCGGCCTTAGATATTTTATAGGTTAATTTGTAACATAGTTCAAGCAAACAGCTCTGACTTGGCTGATGGGGCTAGGCAGAGAGGATAGAGAAAGAACAGGGGGAAGGGCTAGTGAGGAGAAAAGGGTTTACCCAGCCTGCCTGAGGGGAAGAGAGCCTGGCCTGGTACATGGACCTCCTTTGGGAGACTACAGGTGCTTACACCCTCAACCATAGCAGGGTCCCTTGCTCCCTTCCACAGTTTGTCCCCGTAGACTCCTAGTCTCTGGGTTCCTGGTAGAAGGAGAAGTTTAGGAGCACCTCAGCTTTCCTTGTTGGCCTGTGGGAGAAGGTTTTTTTTTTAAAAGATTCATTTATCTATACATTACAGAACTGGGGTACAGGCCAGAGGTGCAGGGGCAGTGAGAGGATTCATCAGAGACAGTGTGGGGAGCAGAATAGGCAGATCGACGAAGTACACTGCTGAGGGGAGCAGCGGGCAGGTCAGGAGAGGTCTGCCGCGCCATGTGGTCACCTCCAGGGCGGGAATCAAACTCATGCTGAAGTGGCTTCAGCTTCTTAGTGCTGTCTGTGCTTTAACCTGCTGTGCCACCAGGGAAGGCCCGGAAAGAAGGTTCTTTTAGGACAGTAGCTTGTGCTCTCTTGTACTGGGAGAACAAGCGAAGGAAAAAATGTTCATGAGCTCACACTGCATTTCCCGAGTGTGCGTCTATCTGTCTGACTGTCTCTGCTTGCCTTGACTTGCAGTAGTGGAAATGCCACGATAACTTACCACCTGCAGTTTGGGGTTCCATCGGGAGACGACCGTTTCATGGAGTATGTGATGAGTGAGGAGGTGGTGCTGAACATCTTGCAGCAAGATTTCCATGACCAGAATGTGCCTGGCTGTGAGACCCTGGGACCTGCGTCCATCTTGCCTGACGATAAGTTGAGCTCAACCGGAAGCCTGACTTAGTGGTGAGCAGATGAACCAGCCTGGGGGCAGTGGGTTTGTTCGATTTTGGTAGGGGTGGGGCTTCGTGTTCTGTGCTGTTACACAGCCCCCCACCTGCCAAGAGCAGACAGAGTAGTTAGAAAAATCATGGGGGAAAAAATTAGACTATTAATCGGAGGATGGCTGTTCTCTGCATTCTCAGCCTGGTGTCCCACTTCTCAATGTCATTAGTAACTTGCCTGGAAACACCGTGGTGTCGCAGGAGAAGCCAATGTTGAAGATGTAAAATAAATGACACAGCAAAATTGTTTACAGATTATCTCAACACGGAGCACTGGTTTCTTTTTCTGTCCAAGGCCACTAGGTTCCTAATGGAATTAACAGAGGGGCATAAAAAGGCAAATGAGTCCATTTCCTTAGAAAATGGTAATGAATTTACACAGATACTTCTAAAACAAAGACTAGCAAAAGCAACCTGTTATTATTCAATAAGCTTAGATGATGCCTGACTGCAGGTTCTGAGAACTTTTTTTGGTAAATATTTATTTATTTATGCTTACTGAACTGGGGTACAGACCAGAGGTAGAGTGGGTGAGAGGATTCACCAGAGACAGAGTGGGGAGCAGAACAGGCAGATTGATGAAGTACACTGATGAGGGGAGCAGTGGGTGTGTGAGGAGAGGTCTGCCACACCATGTGGGCAGGGATCGAACTTGTGCTGTGGCTTTCGAGAGCTTTATAATGTGGTATTTAACCCGCTGTGCCACTAGGGAGAGCCCTCTGAGAACTTTTAATTTTGAGCACAAAAACCTGGTAAAATGGAAGGTGGGAGATGAAATGTTCGCAAGCTCTGAAACACCCATCTGTCAAGTCCACACAGAAGCCATGGCCTTCACTTCCCGTATCTCCTCCTGTCTTACATCTGCTTCCTCACTTGGAGGCTCTTGGATCTGGGTAGCCCAGAATATTGACCGTCTTGGATATTTCATTTTCTCACCCATAATTCATCAGAGACCCTTTCTGCACTTGAATGGGCAGTTAACGGACAGTCACTACTAGTTGGATGAATAACACATGCAAATGTGGAGCTGTGGTTAGCAGGCAGGCACAGAGCCAGCCCCCTCCAGCTCCCCTTGGAGTCCCCCAGGTCTCAGAGGAGTGAACAGAGAGGTTACAGGGCTCACGTGTCTCCCCACAGGCTCCGAGGAGGCCTCGGTAGGAAGATGCTCGGCTCTTGATAACAGTAGGTAAAAGTACACTAGCATCTGTAAGAGGGCAGAGGATTATAGAAAGCGGTTATTCAAGTTTTCTTCCCCCAAATAAATAAAAAGAGTGACATTTAGAAGGCCCACTTTCACCTCATTGGGGATGAGTCATAAATGAATAGTTTCCCTATAGAGCTTCTGAATAAGTAAGTGTGTCAGGCAGATGGCACACACGTGTGGCGCGAGGACTTTCTGCCCCCTCAAATGGGAATTGTAAAAAGAAAGAAAACAGCCAGTCTGCTGTGCGAGCTGGTGAGAGCAGAGAGGTGGGCCTGCACCGTGGTGGAGGGTGCGGCTTCTGTGGTATACTGGTCTCGATCCCCCTCTGCAGTGCTGTTTACCAGCTCTTTCCATATGGGGTTAGTGGGTGTCAGGGGGTGAGAGGATGAAGAGGTTGGGAAGGCAGTAAAGAGCAGCATAAAGGGCACGTTGCTTTTGAGGCCTGAGGAGGACATCTGAGAGGACCTGGAGCTCAATCAAACACTATAGGAGCAGAAACCCTGTTTCTCTCAGGGCTGCTTCCCTGCAAGAGCTCAGCTCTGTGGTAGGCCCTGGGGAAAGGTTCCTATACTAGAAGGTCCCTTGGTAGAATCCCTTGAGTGTGCAGGTGTGGGGTACCTCAATCTACCTTTAATACTTGGACTTCACCCCAGACCTTGTACCTCCCTGGCCTGCCTCTCTTCTCTGGGTCTTCTTCCTTCTTCACTTCCTTACCCTTCCCATTTGATCGGTGTTCACACTCCTGAAAATATCAGTTGTCTCAGTACCACAAAATCATGCTCTGGGACTCCAGTCATAGAAAGTTACACCAGAAGAAACACCTGGGAAAGTGCCACACACTGCTTAAAAAACAAAGCATACTCGGCCCTCCCTGGTGGCGCAGCGGGTTAAAGCACAGCACTGAGAAGCTAAAGCCACTTCCGCATGAATTCGATTCCCGCCTGCCCCAGAGTGACCACATGGTGTGGCAGACCTCTCCTGACCCGCCCGCTGCTCCCCTCAGCAGTGTGCGTTGTCGATCTGCCTGTTCTGCTCCCCACTCTGTCTATGGTGAAACCTTTCGCCGCCCCTGAACCTCTGGCCTATACCCCAGTTCTGTATGCACAAATAAATAAATAAATCTTTTTTTAAAAAAAAAAAGCATACTCCTAGTGTGGAAGATCTTTAATAGGATTGTGCACAGAGAGGAAAGAAGAGAAAGGATAGAGTTTCCCAGTAAAATACCAATATTACCTATCTCCTGGTGAATAAATGCCCCAGCTAGAGTTAGCCAAAGAGGGGCTGCTGAGGCCCGAAAGTTTGTCACAAGTCTAAGGCACCTGCTATCAGGGAGCTGTAGGAGAGGCGTGAAAGGACCAGGCAGGTATGGGGTAAAAGGAGGAAAGTTTAAGTAAAATACCAAGATAAAGTCCGCCACTGTCAGCCTCCTCATGTGTCTCTCAGCACATCTCTTACAAGTGTCTGTACATGTCTCCACCCCATATGACTCTTCCAAGCCCAAAGCGGAGAAGCAAGCACGCCCTCCCTCACATGTGCGTACTCCCTGCGTCTCTCCTTCTGTGTCCTCCAAGTCACCTGTATCCTCACTGGGTGGGGCAGGGACCCTGGAAACTCCTCTTTGCGTTGACTTTCCTCTGTTATACTGAGTGGGAAGAGGTGGGTGTGGAAGGATAGGCGCAGCCTTGGGGACGGCCCGGGGGAGCCCAGTGGGCGTTAGGCCAGTTGCCACGTCCTGGTAAGTAACTATCACTCCGTGTGGTGAGCAGAGCAACTCAGTTTCCACAAACATAATGCTCTACTTCTTCAAAGAGCAGACAGTCTTAAAATTGTTGGGTGCATATGCCCAGTAGAGAATTTAAAGATAGCCTGTACCGCCTCCCAGGAAAAAAATATGTATTTCCTCCCCTACACTGAATTTTACAACTCCAAGAATTCCATGGATTCTCTTGGGTTTACATGTATGGATGTAAAGATCTGTTCATCTATCATTATTTGTCTGTCTGTCTACGGAGAATCAGAACTTTAAAATAGGTTGTAATTTGGAGGTACTTTGTGTGTTTTTCTCATTCTCTCATTTGGAGATATGATGCCTATTTAACTTAGCTGCCAAGAGCATACGAAGAGACCCCCCACACAAGCCTCTCTGTAAGTGTTCCGAGCTGGATGGGTGTGGACTGGACAGTCCAGTGTTCTCTGTTAGGGATTTACAACCGATTCGGTTTTAAATAGTTTATATTAGAATGTGGTCAAATCAAATGAAAACATAAATGCTTAATCATTATTATGAAAAAAATTGACACTTTAATTTTCTTTTCAGAATGAAATGTTGGAGGTCGGTCTGTGACTGAAAGCAGAATTCTGCTGCGGTTTGGAGACCAGAATTCCTTTCATTTTACTCTGTGAAGGATGCAGAAGGACTCGAGGATAACTGTCCTTTTCTTCGTGATTCTAACAGCTGCCCAGCCGGGCTCTGTGTCTGGAAAAAGAGCATCCAGCAGGCGTGTGCTGCCTCGGCTGGCACCAGTCTTGGCAAAGGCAGGAAGCATCATGGCGGAGGGGGGGCGGGGGATGACCAGGAGGATGGGTGGACAGGAGGTCACTGCTGTCCTTCCCATGCTAGCTATCTCCACCTGCAAGAGGACTTTCTCTTAGTGCCTTTCACGCAGAATCCTCTTTACCTGTGCTCGGGAAGAGAAGAGAACAGGAAGAGCCAGGCAGCCAGGTGAGGGAGAATGGAGACAGCTGTCTGATGAAAACCCCCTTCTCCCCTGCCTCACCTTTTGTCTTTGATCCACCTCTGAGGGAGACCGTGAAGGCACTTTAAAGACCCGAGCAACACTGTCCTGTGCTGCCTACACTCCTGACCTGGGGCTGCCTGTACCTCAGCACCTATCATGCAACGTTCACGATGGTAGATACAGTTACAGAAGTCAGATGCGTTTCTTAATCATTTTACATCTCCTCACTGTTCCCCATTCTCTTGAATGCCTCATTTGGAAAGTTCCTTGTGAATTCTGAACGCATTCTGATCATTAGGGGTTTCCCTGTTTGTATTTTCACAAGCTTCTTGCCCGCTGCATTTGCACTGCCCAGGCTTACTAGCCCCTGTCAGACGCCTTAGGCACGAGTCGTGTGTCAGTGAAGATGACCTTGGAACAGGAAGAGCTACTCCTGTTTCTAACAGTTTGAAATAAACTGCCCACTTTTGGGGAGAGTGGGAAAAATGTTCATAACTAAAATTGTTTGTCTTCTACAGATATCAAAGTGCCTGTCGTGAGGTAACAGTATTTGTTTTTGTGGGAAAAATTGTTCTCCTTTCCAGGAAGAGAGTTTTGTGTCCATACAGTGAGAGCCACTGCCCTACACCCCAGTTAAATTGGCTCTGGATGGACATGCATGAGGGGCAAGTGCTACAAGATGAATGTATTATAAGTTGGTGTCATTTTATGTATTTATGCCTAGTTCCTCAAACTAGCAAAACAGGTGAAATTCCCTTCTTCCTCTTTATTTTTTTACATGTTTTTACTTTGTGGAATAGATGCAGAACTTTTTTGGAGAAGGATTTAAAAATCTCTACAATAAATTTATTTTTGTATCCACATTGTTCTCACGTTTGCTTCATAGAGTTGGTTCTCTGGGTCATGGTCTGGGCTGGTTATTTTCTGGTAGTAAATGATGTTGGAAGTGATTTTTTGTTTTCATTTTCCTGAGGGCACCTTCCCTTTTTGAGTGATTAAGACTGAGCTGGAGTGGGCGGGCTGGGGTAGATGGTCTTCCTCTGGATTCCCGTGAGATCGGGAAGAAACCTCTTCTTGCACTTCCTCTGGGCCTCTCCCTGACAGAATCAGTTGTCTAGAGGGCTTGGGGTCAGGAGAAGGGCAGGTTCCTTTCTGGAGGTGGGGCTGGTTTATATTTGATCTTTGCTTTTCATTTGGAAAACACCTAGGTGCAAGTAAATTCTTGGGTTTTGACCATTTCCAAGTCACAGAGAGGATTTTCTATAGGTTTGACCTTCTGCCCAAATGATGTGGAAAGAACTGAACTTTGTGATCAAAGCATTTTGAGGTTTTGGGGAAAGATAGAACTTGCATGGGCAAGTGGGATCCAGGGGAATGTGACCCAAGACCGCACCCCCCAACCCCCCACCGGCGCCTGAAGCCACAGAGAAGACTAACCCTATGTGGGAGTTTCCCCCTGCATAGACCCCTATTTGTGTAGAACAGGTGCAATTTGCAATAATAATAAAAGAGAGCAATTGCAGGAAAACTGTATAATAAAAGGTGGCTTCTCTTAAAATATCCTATTGTGTGTAAAATTTGCAGGCTACATTGACCTTGCAGAACTGATGTGGAAAATAAGACTGAAGATGAGACTTGTTTGTGGCTGGCCCCGGAGAGAGCCCTGGCTGGTGACCCTACCTCTCAATGCTGCTGCACAATAAGGCTTCAACACATCTGTGAAACAATGAGGGATTTGCAAGGAAAAAACTGCTCTTTTCTGGGAAGTTACTTAGAAAGCATAAAACCTCCCACCCCAAGCCCATCTATAAATGGGCCCAGTTATTTGCTGCCTGCCTGTTTAGTGTCATAGATTTCCTAAGGATGTGCTCACAGGAGGTTGTAGAAGGCGATATTAAGTGAAGCAGCTGGTCAGTTTAAAAGGGAGACGAGCTGGGGAGGGATCCGCACAGATGAAACAGGAAACAGCAGATAAAAATACCTGAGTGTTAAAAGTGGATAAAGAGAAACTAGGGTTGTGGGGTTCAGAAAAAGGTGATCTTTCTAGTGTAATGGGGAAGCTCTGCATAGGAAGTGGGACTCACACTGAGCCCAGAGCTGGGGGGAGAGTAGAATATAGTTTTACCTCCCTTTACCGTCTCTTAGGAGCCTGTCCTGTTCTCTTCCTCCTCGTATATGTGGACATTCAGAATCTGCTCTGTGCTGAGAAAAATGGGAGAAAGCTGTTTTCCCTTCTGTTCTCCCGTTACTGTTTCTCTGTTTTACAAGCTAATTCACACTTACTGTATCGCTAGCAGCTGCACCCACAGCCTTTATTTACTCTGCTTGTGAGTAACAGCATTGGAACACACAGCATTGGAAGACAGCCCCCTCCTCCTAGAGTTAGGAAGCCAAGGTCTGAGGATGTGTGCTAGGACAGCCTGCACCCCATATCTCTGGGGAGCGATGCTCAGCCCATTGGGTGGACATGCACCGATGCTGGTGGGCGCTCCAAAGTCATGATGAGCTCATGTCGGTAGATTTGTGGGAGTCCACAAAGTCACAAGTGGTGAGGGTGAAGAGATGAGTTGAGAGGTACATCAGCAGACTACAGAGGCCCTCCGGGGATGATAGTGACACTGACTGCTTCCCCATTGCCCTCTCTAGGAAATGGGGGAACACACACAGGTCCATTTGACAGTTTGCATAACCAACATATGCTCAAATTTAGTGGCTTACGAACAGCTCTCTGAAGGCAAGAGTCTGGCTTGGAAAAGAAGAGTTGGATGAGTGCAAGCAATCTCCTTTCCTCTGCAAATTCCTGTGGCGACTCATCGCACCTGCTCTACCTGTGCCCTCCCTGAGAATCTGATGCACCTGCCATACCAGGTTGTCCTCAAAAATGACATTCAAATTAGTTATCAACTGTAGATTTTCCTGACCTATGCTTGCCCTTTTTTGGTAGTTTTCTGTTCTAAATTAAGATTTATTTACTGACTAAGCCTTTATTTATAGATGCTAGTATGAATGTAAAACGGAAACCACAGGGCCTGCAGCGGCCGCGTAAAATGTGCCTCTGTGAACTTCGGCTGTGGGCAGGTTTCAGACCTGCGCAGGGGAGGAGAGTTTTCTGATCATATTTGTGACTTGAGGAAGCAATTTAAGTGCTTGGCCTCAGTTTCTTTATGAAGAATAGGGGTTCTCAATCTGAAAGGGTTCCACCTGCAACCTCTTGAAATTGTGCACAATGTATGTCTGTATCTGGGTGGAGGCAGGGGGAAGTGAATGTACGTTTTCTTTGAAGTAGGTGCACAGCTTTTATCAGTAATCCTGAAATCTCTGGAAAAATTGGTCAGCATTATATACGGAGATACTAAGTACTTCAAAGCCCTCCCAGAATTCTACTAAACAACTCCCTTTCACAATCCCTCTAAATTTCATTATAAGACAACAATATTCTTTGGTTAGAATTTAATATATTCCTGACAAAGACCATATACTATTTGGGACAGGTAGTGCAGCCACAAGATAAGCTCTGAACATGTACATTAAAATCGACTTCCACAATGAACCAGTTTCCAAGTAAATGACTCTAATGTAAAACTCATCCATTTTGTATTTCTGCTTCACTGAAGTCTACTGGATGACCCTGAATCATGAGACATAGTACATTTTCCCATGCAACATAGAGATTTTTGTTTTCCTTTGTTCTTTTGCTTTCGCACAAAATGAGGAAAAGATAGAAGTAGGATTTGAATCACTGATTATCTTGACCGGTCTCCAGTTTCCCTTAAGTCTATCTAGCTCCCTGTTTCATCTCCTGTAATACCCCTTGCTTCAACACCTGCCTCCTTTTGAACTTGAAAGAATTCAGGTCAAAGGTCAAAGTTAGGCTTCCTTGTGAACAACTTTTGCTAAACACAGGAAGTGAATGAAGGACCAGATATAGGAGATAGTAGAAGCTTTAGCTAAAGACCATCAGCTGATGGTTGAAGTTAGCAAACCTATGTTGACGACACCTATGTTGACAACATCAAACCTCAAGATGCTGCATTTATCCCAACTTGGTATTTTGCACATTTTATATAGTAAAGTTATTTAACTTTGGTTACTTCTGGGGACAAAATCTAAGGCTTGTCTCAACAACACTCTTCCTATTTTAGCATTCCTTAAATAAAGACTGTGGTCATGGGTGAGAGAAAAGGAAGTCGACAACATCTATAAGAATACAAAAATAGTTTAATTTGCTAAGTGTTCTTACTCTCACTTATCTAATTTGTGGCTTAGTATTTCTACATCATTTATTAATAAAAGCTCATGTGAGTTATAATCAGATATATTTCTAAATTTAGGTCTAATCATGATTGTTTTTGTTAATTCTTGTATTCTGTTACAAATGTGGTGGCCATCGGAGAAGGAGGCACAGGCTAGGGGGATCATGAACTAGTGGAGTGGGGCGGGAGCTTTGGTGGCAGGGAAGTGAGATGTGCACTTGTCCAGGGGAGAAGCTGAAACCCCAAAGTTATATAGTTATGCAGATAAAGGGCAAGTCGTTATAATTTGAATTAAAAGGTTAACCAACATTAAAAACAAGAATCATTAGAATGTAATGTTGCTGTGTGAATGGGAAATAAATTTCCATTTCATTTAAGTCACCAAAATATTACTTCTGGCTTTGCAGGACTTACGTCTGTGTGAAAACACTGTTCTGCGGTGGAGCAGCTGTAGAAAATATGTAACTAAGTGAGCCTGGCCGAGTTCCAATGACATTTTATTTATTAAAACAGGAGGTAGGTTAAATTTGTCCTGAAGGTCGCAGATTACTGACACCCCAGGATTAGGGTTTGAGACGTTTTTTCTAGGACCACTGAACAAAAGGTAAGAGAAAATAAGTCGTCGGGGCACACAGAGAAGAGCTCATTAGAGAAGTATGTAGGGCGCTTATTTTTCCATGTGGAAAGTTTATTCATGTCACTAACACATTTATCATATAGTATAGGTTCTGCTATGTGTAGAACCTTGGGAGAGCACTGAGTTGGAAGCCAGAACATCAGGCTTTGGATGAGTTTGCTTATTAAAATTTCATGGCAGAAATATAAAGTTTTTTTTAATGGGTCAAAATCATATAGAACATTATATAAAAGCCTGACCTGGAATTCTTGGATTCAACCCAAACACACCAGGAGGGTCAGTGAGGCAAGGACATGAAAAGGACTCTGCTGAGAGGCGCAGAATAAGAGCACACTGCAGGCTGTGCGCAAAGGCTGGGCTCACACACCCCGAGTGGACAGCCCGGGGGACACTCAGTATGATGAGTGAAGCGTCCCTGTGACCTCAGAGGACAAGCACACGGACATTTGATGAGAAGATCTGGACAAAGGAGAACTCTTGGCGCACATAGATGTAGAGGACCAGAGAGCCCCACCCACCTCGGAGCAGAACAGCCTATTTCCAAAATCATTTGCACCCGACGACGGTCACTCCCTTCTCAAAGAATGGCGTGTGTAAGATAGTTGCTTGATCCTTGGTTGTGGATATTGAGTAGGATCTAAGAGTCCCTGTGGTTTGTCCACCACGTCCTGCAGAGATGCCTCAGGAAGAGCTACGTGTGTGTGCATATGGGGTATGTATATGGGGGGGGGGTGCAGGTGGAAGGGCCGTGTGCTCCTCAGCTGCTTCCACCGGAGCTCCCTGCCCCCAGCTTGTATTTGCTGCTGTTAAATAAGAATCATTCCAACCACTTCATTATAAGTGGGATAACTGCGTCTCAGAAGAAGGCATGCGCACGTGTGAGTGCCGCGGGGAGTAAGAGAAGATTTGATCAGGCATGTGAAGTTCATATTCCTCTTCTGCAGAGGGCACGTGCCTTGGGGGGCAAGTCACCCGGAGAATAGAGTACTCAGTCTCGGTTGCTTCCGACAACACTCTGGGTTTCTCGGGCCTGGGGGAAATGTTCTCGTAGAACTCCTCAGCAGAGTTCCTGGACGGCCTTCTCCTGGGTACACTGTGATGGATGACGGTGTAGCACAGATCCTCTGTGGAGCTCTGGTCCGCGTTCCCCTGAGAGGCAAAGCAGAGCCTCATCAAGATTAGCCCCTTGCTATTCCCTTCATGCTTCAGTGCCAGCACAGCCAACCTGGGCCAAGTTTTCCACAACCACCTCCGGTCTACTGCTTGGCCATTGTTGCTAAATGGCCGCCCAATGCAGCCATTAGCTTACTAGCCGGGCTCAGCCTGGCCCCGGGGATGTCATTTCTGGCTTGTGTTCTGCAGAGACCCCCTGACCTCTCCATATATCCCCAAAGTCTCAGCAGCCAATCTTTATACCTAAGAGCAAACGGATGGCATCTTAAAATGATTGGTTATAATATATAATCACCCATTTGGAGGAAATAGCAGTAATAAAAAGAGAAACAACTAAAGCGAAAACCCCAATTGAATGAAATCTTGAAAAATAATGAGCAAAGCAACCAAGTACAGGGAAAAAGTGAGATGTTTTGTCTTGATTCATGCTCTGGCATCTTGTAGTTCTCGCTATGGGGGATGACCCCTTAATCTCTCAGCAACTTGAAAGATGAAATGTATGCTTGATATAATGGATGAAGCTTCCTTGTGACCTCAGAGGACAATCACAGGGACATTTGATGAGCAGAATCAGGAAAGAAGCAGCACATGTGGCACACACAGCCACAGGGACCGGGGAGCCCTTCCCACCACCGAGCAGAGCAGCCTCTCCCCTTAAAATGGGAGAAATCGCAATGCCAATCTCCTAGGTCGTTGTGAGGGTTACACAACATGAAGTTTGCAGTGCTCAGGCATCAACCAACTGTTCAATAACTATCAGTTCCTTTCAATAAGTTGCATAACAGAGGTGGCTGCTGTTTTTGCAACAGGCCCTTCATACAGCCCCAGGGCTCGTAAACACTGCATCTAATTCTTTCTATATATACACATTGATTCTCAATGATGCACACTTCAAACAGGTAATGAAATATTATCAATTAAATGAGATAAAATACAGATAGCCCCCCCCCTCCCCAACACACACACACACAAAGTCTCTCATTCATATGAATGTCAGAAGGGGACCTGGAAGCCAAATTCTGCCATCTGGGCTGTTTGCATTTTTACCACAAGGCTCAAAGAAGTTCTTATTACCTGTGTGGGAGAAAACGATAGTCCTTCATCTGGAAAAAGAAAATACAATCAATGAATTTTTGCTCATGGGAAGATTTGAGGAGTCAGAAATTAGCACCCAAGAGCCAAGGAGCAGCTGGAGCAGCTCTCAGCCAATCCTGATCCACTGCACGTCTCTGTGGAGTGACGGGTCAGCTAGTAGCCAGCCAGAGCTGCACTCAGAGGCAGGATGGAGAATGGCGGGAAAATTTTGATGGGTTTTACACAGTAAATAACACTTGGCCTTTCCCTTCCTCCCTGTCTCCCGGCCCCACTTAGGCAAAACTCATTGCATACCTGCTATGTACCATGCACTAGGGAGCCGAGGCTCTAAAAACAAAGACAAAACAGCCTAGTAGTCCTCGCAGGGTAGCTGAGCAGGCAGACAGGGCCTAACAGATGGGGTAGGGGTAGAGAAGGGCTTTCCCTTCTACTGTTGATGACTGAGAACAGCAGCAATGTGAGGGCTGGTGCTCAAGGAAGGATTTGCAGAGGAGGAAATGTTTAAGCTGAACAGTCTCATTCCTGAGCTTGCACAAAGAAATGGGATAATTTTTCAATAGTCAATTTACTATTTAGAAACAAAGGTCTCTGGCCACTCAGCCAAGAGGCAAATGGATACACTCGCTACCCTCTTGCAGACACCTGTGGTAGCCTCCTGAAGTCACCCTTGAGGAGGTGAGTGTGCTCCCGGAGCCATTTTATTTGTCATATGATGGGTTTCTGTTCCCTAGGACTGGCATCTTAGATCTCAAACCTGCAGCTCCCCATGGCCCTAGGACTTCCCCAAGTATCCCTGCAGGAAGAGGGTCCGAGAGTTTTGGCATTGGAGGTCTTAATCCTACCGTGTTTTGCTCTGGTGGAGATTGGGGCTCCTGGGGGCCCATGGTTCCCCTAGGTAAAATAGTTAGGAGCAGGAAGTTTATATTTTTATTTACATGCCTTACAGAGCTAATTTTTAAATTCAGAGTGAATGAACTAGGCTCTTCCCTGAAACAGCAAGACTCCTTTCGTTTTCTTCTATAGAAATGCAGTGGCCTTTCCTCGCCACCTCTCATCCTTGAATTCTACCTTCTTAACTTCAGCCTTGACCTGTCACTGGACCCCATGGCATCAACCTCCTAAGTGGTCTCCAGCTTCTGCTCTTGCCACTTCCAGCTATAATCTGTTCTCTGAAGCAAGCTGGGTGGTGTCTTTAATCATGCCCCTTGTTTAAAGTCTTTCTTTTTTCTAAAGATACAGAACTGGGGTACAAGTCAGAGGTGCAGAGACGGTGAGAGACTTCACCAGAGACAGAGTGGGGAGCAGGACAGGCAGACTGACAAAGTACACTGCTGAGGGGAGCAGCGGGCTGGTCAGAAGAGGTGTGTCGGGCCTCGTGGATCACCTCTGGGGTGGGCAGGGATCGAACTTGCACTGAAGCGGCTGCGGCCACCTTGCAGTGCTGCACCCTATCCCTTTGTGCCACCGGGAAGGCCCCCTTGTTTAAAGTCTTTCAGGGCCTCTTGCATCTGTCCAGACAAAGTCCTCAAAAGTGACCTTGATGAGGTCCTGTCCGTCCTCTGTGCTCCCCATTCCCATATGATCTCTCTGAAGTTCTTCCAAGTAGTTCTATCTCAACCTTTTGCATTTATTGATCCCAGTTAACATTTTGTTCCTGTAACAGGCTTCAGGGACCCACTGAGGGCTAAGGAGCTCAGGGGCTCAATGTTGAGGAGAGACAAAGATACAGAGAACTAGACAAGTGGCAGCAAAATGTGAAAGTATTGTACTAGATACGCCCAAGGAGCCTTGGGGGCACAGGGAAGGGGCAGTTTGTCAAAATGAAAATGATCTGGAAGCTGTAACTTACTTTCTTTTTGGGAATTTTGCCTTGTTTTAAATAGGTGTAGTTTTTTCCTATAAAAGAAAAAGAAAGTAAATTTGACATTTCAATCTCCAGAAACTCTCAAAGGAAACTCATCTATAAAAGCTTATTTTTAACTCAAATTTGTTGAGGTTGTAGACCTTTGATAGTACTTCCTTCAACGCAGAAAGAGAACAGGACAGAAAAATGTACAAAGAAGGATGGTCCAAGTAGAAAGCTCTTTATCTCCTTCCTCCATCCCTCCCTCTCTCTTTTTCTCTCCCCTGCCCCATTCTACCTATTATAGTCTGACATGGAATTTACTTAAAAGTAGAGACCTATGGTGATGTGATAAGTAACTGTCTTGAAGAATTTTTTCTGATAAAATATATTTCCTTTATATCAAGTGATTTAGGAGCCACGGTTATTTCCAATCCCAATCTCAGCTCCAATCTAACATCTCCAAACAAGCAAGCAAGCAAGCAACAGGTAAGCGCTTCCCATAGAAGCTCAAAAGCAACTTGTAAAATTGTGAATGACCCCCTGGAAAAACACAGTATAAACAGAACACAGACCTGTCCATATCTTGAGACAAGGACAGATTCAGCTGTGAGGATGACCCGATGTTCTGGTTTGTTCAGACAGCTTGGTTAATGCCGTTATCAAACACTCATTGACCCCTCGCTCTTTTATCACCCCATTCACTCTCGAAGTTCTCCCAGCTGGGGCCATGGATTATACGATCACCCCAGCTACTAGTTGTCTGTGCCAGGGACAGATAGGTGTACTTCTGCTCTGGGAGACCCAGGGACTGCCAGTGTGATTGAGGGTCTTTCTACATTGGCAGCCAGTTTCATTATTGCTTTCCTGCGAGAAGCATGTTCCACCCAAAAGATGACTGTTCCCATTTCCCACCAAACATGAAGCGTCACTTCCCTGGAGATTGTGCCTGGGCTGATGACAAGTTTTCTCTGTGACCACAGACATCAGGGAGTTCAGTAAATACCACATTGAAACCACACTTGGGGAAATAACTTCTGAAAACAGGTCTCCACTCACCATGGAAGGCAGACACACCCTTCAGCCATGTGGCAGTCCCAGCATCTGAAACACCCGAGAGGTGACATAAATCACAAGGTTGGTTTCTGAGGTGGTTAGAGTAACTCCCTCCTTTTGCCATTTCTGTTGAAAATCATTTTTCCCACCAATGGAATATTCATCCTTGGTGACTTGGGCTTACCTATTATGCTAGTACATCTCTAACACCCATGACTGTAGCTGACACTTTGGAAATATAAGATACCACCAACTCCTAACCATGGGAGGAACTTCCTACTGTATTCCCAGTAAAAGAAAAGGGCTTGTTTGTTCTCAGTCCCAGTGATTTTTTTGGTTCCTTGTGATGAGGAAAATGCAAGAGTTATCACTAAGAAATCAAGGAATAACATGTGGGTTTTCTATAAACTTCTTTTAGGTATAAGTTGGGCAATATTTCTAAAGGATTCCACTGCACTCCAAATTTATGCTATTCATACCACACTAGAACTGTCTGCTCACCTGTCTATGTCCTCCTACATTAAAACATCACAAGATCAGGGACCATATCTATGTTGTTCATCAGGGTCTGTGTCACAGTGCTCAGAACCGAATAAAAATAGATATTTGATAAATGACTGAGTAGCCATCGACAGAGCAACTCTAACTAGCTCAAGAGCTCATCCAATCTTCCTCTGGCCCCCAAGGTAAAACTAAACAAGAGGTCTCTCTGCAGTCAGACCTCCAGGTGGAAGTCAAAGTATCCTGGGCACCTTTCTGAGTGGAGACATTCAGGCAACCTACATGGTTGACTACAAAAGCCCTTTGTAAAGGACTGCTTGTGATAGTAATACCAGGTGACAACAGTTGGAAATCACCTTGCAAAAATATCCCTGTTGGTGAACTTTCCCAGGGAGTTCCCTCAGAAGCCATGAGCCACAGAACAACCGGCTTTACTACCTTTGGGATTCTAGTTCCATACTTCAGTGATTCCATGCACTTTAAAGTTTGTGAGAAAGTCTTGGTTTAACTGCCCTAGGGTAATCACAAGTGATTCTCTCCACAAACCTTTCAACAATTGTAGTGACATGGGGGATGTGGTCACCACCTCAGAAATAGAAGCTTGGATCTTAAATGAAATGGCTGGTACAAAGCTCGAGCACAAAGGTACATGAGCTAGACAAAGACAACAGGTAACGAGGGTCTGATTTCCTGTGATGAGGTTTTGGTGCCTAACCAAATGTCACATCTCCAGTCAAAGCTTCAAATGTTTTATTCTCTGTCTCACATCTGTTGTTGAAGTACAGGAATCGCAGATTCCACTTTTCCTGGAAAAGGATGGGGAATCTTATGTTGGATTTGCTCCCACTTGGATAGCCTGTGGAGTCTTGCTTTCCCAGATTCCAGATTACCTCTTGAGTTGTCTGCTGACACTTAAAACAACACAGGAATGAGGTAAGTCTTTTCTCTCTTCATAATTTTTCCTCACTTCATAATTTTTCCATGTTTCCTTTTCTCTCTTATTTATGTTGATACTGGACTCACCTGATACTGGATATTTGTGTTGATAGTGGAATTCCTCCTGGCATTCATCTTCGTTAATATGACCTCTTTGAAGTGTAGACCATAGTCTGTCTTTGATCTGTCCTTCTCCCTATTGCCACAGTAATAATCTACCATTGTTCTCTGAAATTTCCATATGCAACCAGCACTAAACCATTTGAGTATCTGGAAAACCTTGTGATGATCCTGAGATATCAGTGTTTAGACAGACTTATCTCTTTGGTACAGTTTCAGGTGCTGTACTCAGAATATCAAAGGGGTTTTGGCCTTATCTCATGTAAATCAGCTTCATTTACACACAGCATGAAGACTCAAAACTTGGAAGAAAGGTTTAACTAAAGAAAATAAATACATGTATTTCATTGGATTGAGTGTCTGTAGAACCATCTTTTCTTTTGAGGACACTGTGACTATGGAGGAAAACAATGTCCAATAACACTAACTATATGCTTGCTGTTTATGTACCATTCACACACATATATACACACTATACATACTACTTACCATAATATACGTAAAACTAAATATACGTACCACATTTGTATACATATACCATGAATATTTGCCACATATAGTCATTACTGTGTACATTTATATTGTATAAATTTTATATAATCCCTTAATCAATCCATTCTATTTTTTTATTGAGGAAATGGTGTCCAAATATTTGAGGCAAGATGTCTGAGAACCAGTAAGTGGAAGAGGCTGGGTTTGCTTTTGACGGATTCTTTCCTCTGAAAGGTAAGTGCCATTCTACACTTTGTGGGGGGGGGGGGAGGTGTAGTTTATAGTAAATTTGATCTGCACAGACATGGTATGATTGTGCCAGATGATAACTAGATGATGAGTGGTGATGGGGTGAAGGTGAAAATCACATCCAACTAAGTACAAGATTTTTGAATATATTAAGGGAGACATTTTAAATCAACATGGAAATGAAGATGCTGGGTTAATGAACTGTTCGGAAAAGTTACATTAGTATCTGACACCCCATACTAAGTGGGGCCAAAAGAAAACAATAAAGCCACAGAAAGCTAAATTAGGCATTTGTCTCATGTTGAAATGGGGAAAAAATGTAAACATAAATGCATTGGCAAAACCACAAGTTTTCTAGATTTAATATTATGTTTAAAATAAAATATAAAACAGTTTTCATAATAATTTTTAAATTTTATTTATTTCATAATAAAAATTAATTCTTCATAATAATTTTAATAGTTCTCATATAATCTCATAATAATAGTTCTCATAAAAAGCCAATTTCTTAAAAGTACAATAAAACAAATTTCTTAAATGTATCAATGAAACAAATCGTTATAAAACAAAAAAGACCAAAGTCTGAAACAAAAATGGGCAGAAGATGTCACTAGCGCTCATGGATGACACACATTAGCCACAAATGGCTGATATAGATACTAAATGAAGATAATTCTATCGCTTGTTTGCTAGTGTATCTTCTTGTTTATACTTTACGCATTTACAATTATTCTCCCAACTGATAAGTATAGTCATAATCTAAAAACAAATTTACAAATGTGATGTCAATCACTATTTTCTCAGTTGGATCATATTTGTGTTTTATTTTTCTTCTCAAGAAACATAATTCTTTACACTGCCACTCATTCATCTAACATTGTGTACCTACTACATGTCAGAAATAAAAGTTCAAAAATAAGTAAGAAAAATCTCTATATTTGAGGAGCTTACATTTAGGCATTAAAATAAAAATGTGTAATCTGATAGAATTGTGGAGCTGAAGGCTGATAAAGGCCTGCGAAGAGCCCACAGTGTCCGAGGCACACTGACTCACAGAGCAGAGTGTGGGACATTCCGAAGCATTGCTAAGCCTTCTTTTGAATGATATCTACGGTCCTGGCTCCCAGGGCCATGAACGAGACTTGGATCATACAATCATGCAAAGACCCCTGCTGGCCAGCTTATTCTCCTAGACCACCTCACTCTGATTCCTGTGGCCTTGATTAGGGGGACAGTGTCTTTTACAATGGCTGCTTTGATGTTAATGATGAGGATGGCAAAAGAAAATATGCAATTATTGAATTTCCCACAGGTCTTGCATAGCAAACATGCCCCAGAATCCCTCCACAGTCGGGATTGCATTATTGTTTCCATTTAAAATGAGACACTGGGCCTTCTCTGGTGGCGCAGTGCATTAAAGTACAGTACTGTGAGGCTCTTCGCAGTCACTGCAGCAGTTAAATTCCCAGCCAAGGAGCTGACCACGTGGCGTGGCAGACCTCTCCTGCTTCACCCGCTGCTCCCCTCAGCAGTGTATTTCACTAGAGCTACCTGTTCTGCATTCTACTCTGTCTCTGGTGCATCCTCTCACCACCTGTGCACCTCTGGTCTGTACTTCAGTTCTTGTATGAGAAAATATATATCTTTTAAAAATAAAAAATAGGGCCCTCGCAGGTGGCTCAGTGGGTTTAAGCACAGCACTAGGAAGCTGAAGCCACTTGAGCATAAGTTCGATTCCTGGTCCCAGAGGTGATCCACATGGTGCTGCAGACCTTTCTTGATCCGCCTGCTGTTCCCCTCAGCACTGTACTTCGTCAGCCAGTCTGTTCTGGTCCCCATTCTGTCTCTGGTGAATCCTCTCACTGCCCTTGTACCTCTGGCCTGTACCCCAGTTCTGTATGGATAAGTAAATAAATCTTTAAAAATAAATAAATAATAAAATGAGAACACTGAGCTCCAGAAAAGTCAAGTCAAGCCAAGTTCTTCACCAAATTTGATGACCTCTATCTATTTGTTGCTGCTGAAAGCGTGCACCAGGTGAAGTTTCACATTGGCTGGAAGATTGTTATTATATGTTTTGGACTTCTTTGCTACTGAAAGTGTATTGGCATCTCTGAACTCCTTGTGGGGTAGGAGGAGCTCAGGAGAGCATCCCTTCCTGGCCTTCAGAAAGTCATTCCACTTCTTGGGTGATGCTCCATTGCCTAGACCTCTCTTGATAAAGTTTTCCCCTCTTTCAGTTGCTCTCACCCCCTGCTCTCTGTAACTACAGACAGCAAAGACACTAAACCCCAAATCTATGAAGAACTGGACTCGTCTAGCACAGCACACAGTAGGCTCTTCATTTTGGCCAGTTTTTACCCAATCCCAACTGGCTCATCCCAAGAACAGATCACGATTTCTTCTCTTGACTGCATTCCAGTCAACCCTCCAGGTATTTCCGAGGGAATCTGTACTCACCTGTTTTTCCTGAGAAGAGAGTTCCCCATCCTCTTCCTCTTGGTTTCTCCCCTTTAAGCTGCAGAGCACCCTGACTGTGCCGCTCCACACTGAGAGATGGGGCCCTGTTGTTTGAGCCACCAGTGCAGAAAGCTGAAAGGAGAAGACTATGTGTGAAGGGGAGGAGCAGCCTGAGGGAGGCGGATCAGAGGTGTACAACTTCCTACAGTGTCAGAGCCAGAAAGAACTGGGCTAATGGCCTGAACCAGAGATAACTGGTCAATAATGAGTGCTTCAAGTCCCTGGGGGAAGCCCTGGTCTGCAATACAGATGGGCTGTGGGTTTCCCCTTCAGGTCCAACATTATTAAACCACTTTGCATTCTTAGAAAAACCAGAGAGTGAAACTTTGTTTTTAAATAGAGAAGATTAAAACAAAATGGAATCAATTTGTACAAACTAAAAGCAAAACGTATATTTAATAGACAGAATTTTATTCATAATAGTTAGAGATTTCAAAACTCACTAAGAAGAAAAGATAACCAATAAAAAAAAAAATGGGCAGGGCCCTCCCTGGTGGTGCAACATGTTAAAGCACAGAACTGCAAGCCAGCTGCAGCTTCAGTGCGCGTTCAATCCCAGACCCCGGAGGTGACCCATATGGCATGGCAGACCTTTCCTGTCTTGCCCACTGCTCTCCTCAGCAGTGTACTTAG